GAAGAGCCAAAATCTCTCAAACCAGACAAGCCGCATCATTTTCTTCAACATTCCCCTGGTTGTGCATCTGGTGATCATCCCACAGGTGTCAGAGTGCGGTGATTATGAACAAGGTTTTTGTTTTCTTTGTGCCACAACAACAACAAAAAACCCACCGCTCTCCGCCAACCCAACTCGCCAGATTTGCCTCCTTTGTGACTCCATCTTGTTCCCAAAAATTAAATCCAAGTTGAAGGGTCCCCGTTTAGACACAGTTCAGGAGCTTCAGCACTCGCCGCAGATGGTGCTTGACACGTTTGCGTAACGGGACTTTCAGGGAAGCTTTACAAGTGTTGCAGAAGTGCTGAGAGCGCTGCACGGCTGCACAAGGAGACCACTTAGACGAGAATGATGGCCAAATTTAAATTAGATACGCTTGTTGATTTTAATAGCAACAGCCTCTGAGCTGTTTGATCGCACCTCGCAAAGGTGTGCGGGACCATTAGGGTTTCATAAAACGCCACTATTGTGTAACCGAAACCAGAGTAAGCAGGCAGGTGTAGCTACAGCAGTGCCGTATTTATAAAGCCAGGGAAATATGTTAAATGAAAGGTGAGCACGGAGGAAAAACAAACGGTTCAGGGAAGATTAAGTTCTATTTAAAATCGTGAAGAGCACGTGTATTGTGGCAGTTTTGAGTTTCCAAGGACAGTTTTGTTTGTTTCATAGATTTATTACACATTTTCTGGAAATCTGCTGGGTCAAAAATACACATAAAACAGTTGTAATGTTTGGTCTTTGCCATTTTCACCTCAATTAGGCACTTTTGGCAGACGTCCACAAGCTTCTGGTCAGCAGTGATTTGCTTTTCCAGAGTGTTGCTGAGCTCTACAGACTTTCCCGCTGCAGTGTTTGCGTTGAAGTTAAATTGACTCAGAAGAGTCACCAGCTGTAGCCGGTCGTAGGAGAAGTTCAGAGGTCATGCCACGAGGAAAATTTGATGAACTTTTAACATCAGTTTCTGTGTGCAAATTGTTGACCCAACAGATTTTGTCATGTTCTCAAAAGACCAGTAATAAATCTATGAAAGAACTAAAATGCATTATTGGATTTTTGTGACTCAACCGTTTTAAGGATTCCCTCGTAGAAAATTCTAGGAGTCACTGGAAACTCAAGACTGTGATGATGTGTGTCGTCTCTACAACTGTTGTTTCACTTTTAGCTTCTCAATGACCAGAGTGATGAGGACACGTACTTTGCCACCATCATCTGGATCTGGTGCTGGACTTCGGCCCGGACGTTGGCCGTGATGTTGTTGGCCAGCTGATCGGTGGAGCTCTGGAAGCTGTCGATCATCTGCTGCAGCTGCCCGATCATCGGGTCTCGTGTCTCCTGCTCTCTCTGCTTCCTGCTCTTCATGTGAGTCTCCAGCTGCTGGATGTCTGCAGATATGAAAGTCAACAAAAAGAAATATAAATCTCAGCTTCCCCTTCGACGAGCAAACACATCAGGAATACAGTCGCAACCTTCAGGAGTGATATTGCTCATATCAGGGCTGAATCCAGTGTCTCAGCATAATGTAAAAGAGCTGCAGTGACACCAAACCCACTGACAATGTGTTCTGTCGCCATCACTGTAGCGGCAAAGACGCCAAAAGAACGCCACGATAGGTGAAGGTAGCCTGTGTGACTCTGACTTCAGGAAAAATTAATCAAATCCAACCTCCAGACTGGACGTCAAAGAGCTGCGTGGAGGATCTCAGTAAATCCAGCAGGAACAACTGGCTGGCTCATGATTTAAATCATCAACCCCAAGAAATGCATCTTGTACTAAAACCAGGAAACATAAAGAATTCGCTTCGTCTTTAGCAGCACCTGTTTGGCAAAAGTCTCAGATTTAGATGATAATAGTAATGCATATAACAAACATCTAAAATAACAGATAATAGTTGCTGCTTGTTTGTTTTTAGCGGCTACATACACATAGGGTTCTGGCAAAAAGAGACAGCGAGTTGTTGCGTCTAGAGTTCACAGAGTTTATTATCATATGGCCAATATGTCATCTAAAGACTACAGTAGCTCTGTAAGGGAAGAAGTTACTAAGCAACCGTCAGCTGGTCGCTAATAGGAGTGTTTACATTGTTCATACTGCTGGTTACCTTCACGTCTACATTTATCCATCGTTACACTATTATCTACAGCTATTGTATTTATATATCCAGTGTGTCTACACATTATATAATGCACTTTAACTGCACTTCTGGTTAAATGCTGGTTAAACAGCATTTCATTGTCATAAAGCAGATTTAAAACTACGGTTTAAAAGTGCTTTCCAGTTAGAAAGAATATGACAAGTGTTAGGAAATAGCTTTAGTTAAGACCCTATACAATAATTCACACATTAGAGAATAAAACCCTACAAAAACGACATAAAATACTACTTTACCGTAACTGTAATAAATAATAAAGCTGAGACCCGTTGGTGTTATTAACTATGGAGTTAAATTAATGCTCTTAAAACAAACAGAAACAAATACAGACATACCGACTCATTTCTGTGGAAAAGGGCTGCACACAACTTATATATATATAAATATATATGAGTAGAAGATTGGTCTATTTTTACACTTGCAGCACAGATCTCAGCGGTTTAACCAGCTTCATCGATTACAGCGGAAGTGTGGCGTTCCAGCTTTTGCTCTGCGAACAGTCTGCATAAATTAGACGATAAGTTAGCACTCTGCAGCTCCTTAAGCTTCACCAACTCCGAGCTCTGCGTCGCGTCCCCGTGTTTGCTGTAAGCCCTCGTACACTTTAGCAATCCAATTACATATAAAGGATTTTAATTAGTTTTCTCCACTATTTAAACCCATAAAGCCATCAGGTGACACTGTGGTCAGCGGAGACTTTGCTTATACGTACTCCGACTGTGGCTCACCTTTGTGCAAAACAGCTTCCTAAGTTTAGCTCAACATACACCGACCAAATAATTCTAATTCATGTACCGAACAGCAGAGAAAACATCGATGTAATTCAAGTTACACGCGACAAACGACTCCGCTGGGAAGCCTGGATGTAAACTATAAACTTCAGGTTCGACCGTAACATCAGTTTTGGACTCTTTGTTTATAAAACTGCCCGTTCATCACACACCGTAGATGTTGTCCTTACTTTCTCTGCTCGTGTTTTAATGAACAGATGGATCGGTTTTATGAAAATTAATTAAAAACTGTTCTCCCCCCAAACACAAATGCATTCTCAACTCCGTCCCTGGTTTTAACAGATTATCTTTATCCAAAGTAAATATAATTCTAAACTCCTATCTCTGTTAATAAAACGCTGCACCAGGAAGCTGAAGGTTTTCCGTTTACTCGGGGTATTATTTTGTTTGCCAGCATGCACCTTTGTATTAAGATTAGACTATTGTAAATCAATCCTGTGGTGTTTTCTTCAACATACTGCTTGTAATTCAAAATTGGCCCACGATTATTAAAAATTAGAGGAAGCCCTGCATGATGTACACAAACATGATGAGTGGTGCACTTCAATCACCATCTGACAGCTTCACATAGCAGCGACACATCAGTGCAGAACTTATTCTCGCTAAACTGCAGTCAGTATTTACAAACTAAACCCTGAATATGATAATGGATTAAACTTAAATTGGAGGAGAGGTGCGGCAGCCTCCTTATTTACTGCTGGCTAACTGTGTGCGTCTCCCCTCCACACGCATTATGACAACCTTGGAAAATTTAAAAATAAAAAAAAAAAGATCCAGCTTCCAGAGGCGGCGGGTTTGGAGCACAATCTCCGAATAAGCAGCAGACCGCTTATCAACACATCAGCGCGCCGGCTCGCTCTGAAAAAGGCGTCATTACAAAGGCCGTCCCTGAGAATGCTCACAGAGATCGTTACCTAATTAGACTCCCAGATTAGATTAGGCCTTGATTTCGGTGCAAGACATCAGAAACAACCTGCAAGATGGGAGCACCACTGCAAAGTGTCTCCAGAGGGACGACAGCCACTGTGAGGCATCAGAACAACCTGAAGGGAGGGTTCATAAACTTTCAAGTAGCGCCGCACGATACACCGATACTAGATCACCAGATCCAGCTATTAAAAACAATACTTCACCTTATTTTATTAGTAGCAATACTTTAGGACTGACAGTGTTTTAATATAACAGAAGCTGTATTTCCAATGAGTTTGTGTGTTTTTTCTTCTCTTATAACCACACTGCAGCTTTCACGGTAACAAAACGAGAACAAACAAGTGCCGCAGATTGTCCACAAAGTAGACGCACAAAGCAAAATATTGCATTGTTTTGCTTTTAGCCGACAGTCAGGGCAAGTCCCAGAAACACCACAAGGCAGGTCTGCAAAAGACGTTTCCTAAATGCAAACCGCGTCCAACTTGTTCAAGGAATTCACAGACCTACAGGTCAGAGAAAGTAGTCGATAACATAATTAAATCATGCCTTCAAATACGTCAAACGAGTGTGATTTCAACGTTCTCCACCATCGAAGTTTGACGAGGTGATTGAAGTCAGCGACAACCGTTTAATTCTGCTCTGAATTCAACTGCAGCGTTCACACCGACGAGTTTAAGTCATGTTCCTGCAAGCTGCTAAGATGTTCAAAAGTTTGCAGATCAACAACAGTAGTTGTAATTATCGAGCGAATTCCTGCAGGAAACATAAAGGCGGCCAATTAAACTGTGCACTAAATCACTGCTGCACTCATCTCTGCAGGGCTTCATCCTTTTTCTAAGCAGCAGTGTGCGAGACACCAACGTGAAGCGACTGTCATCCTCCCTCAACGTCCAAAAAGAAAAGTTTTTTCAAATTTGGACTAAGTGGACCGAGTACTTTAAATCTATTACGACTGACTTGAGCTTATTTGACAGAATAATTGAGTGAGAATATAATATTGTCTGCATTACTTAACTGCATCTAACAACTCACTCTTTATTTATTTTCCTTTACTCATTGATTTATTATTATCAGTATTGTCTACGGTGAAACTGTTTAACTGTAAATAATTTAGAAATCTCTGGAAAATGGTTCCCAAAACATACGGTAATGTTTGTTTGTTTGTTTGTTTAACTACTTGCAACAACACTGATACTAAATCTACTAAATTAATGCTTTTTCCAAATGAAAAATAAAATAATAAAAGACAGAATATGAAAACATATGCAGATACATTTTAATTTCCTCTTGTTTTTTTTTTTTGATTCTTTTCACATCTTTCTCTGTTTTGCATTGGCACGGTCACCGCTTTCTGTTTGTCTAATTAAAAAGAAAATAATAAGTTCCCTGTTCTGTCATATAGTACTAAATTACTTTTCCTGATGTTTTTGTGTTTTATCTGTGGTGTAATTTCAGCATCAGCACATTTAAGGCAGCTAATGAGGTTAAGTGTGCTGCGGTGGGTCATTATGTATGTTTTAAACACAGGATCAAAGATGTATGTTAGACATCAATGCAGCAGCTTCTACATGGAACTTCCTTTCCTAAATATGTTTTGCAAAACAAATGGCTTCAGAATAACCTGCTCAAGTTTATGATTAAACTCTTGAGCCTTTAAAACACGACACAGTGTAAGAAAACGCACCCATCCAGCGTAACCAAAGTCTACACTCGGTTTCCTTACATTCTTGCGTTCCTTGTTTGAAGCTGTCGTTGATCTGCTGAAACATCGACTGGCAGCCCCTTTCGAAAACCGGCAGCACGATGCTCTGAAAGGCGTCTTTGTAGGCCGCTTGGATCGGCCCCTGCATCGCCTCGGCCGCCGCTCGGCCGATCGCGTCCGTCGTGTTCTGGGAAACAGGAAGCGGAGTGAGCAGAGTACGAGGAGGAGATTCAACGGGACAGGTGGTGAAAGCGAGTCGGGCCGCCTACCTTGGATTTGACCACCTTGCCCACGTTGTCCTTCAGGGTGACCTCCACGGCGGTCAGTTTGGCGGCGATCGTGTTGCTCAGCTGACCCGTCACCGGCTCCAGACTCTTGGAGATCGCTGGAGAGGGAGAAAAAAAGAATTAACAAGACAGATTAGCGAGAACTCCTCTATAATTAGGAGTGTGATCCAGAGGAAGAAAAGAAAGAAACAAAACAAAAAAGGCAGACGGGAACATCTCATCCTCAAATTAGAGGGCGGGGAAGGTGAGGCAGGAAAACACGTCTCCTTAATTCTAGTGTCTCAGTCCAACACACCTCAGCTGCTCCGGCTATATTTAATGTTACTTGCGCCTCGGATGATCTCAAGCATTAAGCAGCGCTCTAATTTATTGATGTACGGGCTGGCGTGCACTGTTGTTCACTGCTGCTAAACACAGTTTCAAGATGCTGCTTCACTCTGAGCATTCTTTCTTTACATTATGTCTAAACACAGATTCAGCCCTTTGTCTATTAAATGGACGCCGTAGTTGGTAATTAGCAAAGGAAAGTATACGCTCTTAAATTTTTTCACCTTTCCAGACATAAAAGATGAATCACAACAACATTTCTGCTTTGATTATATAATATATAACAGATAAAGAAAACACAGAACCTTGCAAGGCATGTTTAGGAGTCACTCAGAAGAAATTTAAGTGCCTTCGACACACATAAATTTGCAGGTGGGTGGTAGAAAGACTGGAGAAGAGAAGCCCAAGGACAGGAGAAAGCTGAAACACTGCTCAGACTTCATCCTAAAATCTTCCTCCTCCTCTACAGATAATGAAACGGTGCAACACCACCATCATCTGGAGGCGGGAGCGGCTGACCTCAGGAACTACAGTTCAGTCGTCACTTTGCTTATTGCGTTCGTCTCTTTAGAATCAGTTCGACCACAAATAAACCCTCAGAATCTCAGAGCAGCGGGTTTTGTTTGTAAAATTAGCCCAAATTACAGCATTTATTAGAGCAGCACATGTAAAAACACTCTGATCTTTGACCTTCCAGTGGTTTTGTTTTGGTCATTTTGACCCTTGTTTTTATTGTTTTGTGTTGTTTTTTGTCTCTATTCTGTTTTGTGTCTTGTTTTTATTGCTCCGTGTCTTGTTTTTTTGTCATTTTGTGCCTGTTTGTGCCCGTTTTGTCTCTACACACTGTAGATATTTAACTATTTCCATCACAGCCTCTGCAAATCACCTCTTTCTTTTTAAATGATTTTGGTGCTTATACTGCACGAGAGACACTGTACGCTTCTTCTAGTCACGGTTGTGCTGCTACCAAAGAAAAATATAACAGTGAAAAATGAATCCACAGTGAGTAAAAATGTGATGGGAACAAATGAAACCCAGAAACCGCTTCAAGTTCAAAGGGCTGATATAACATTTAAACAGACATCCGGTATTTTAAGGTGAATTTCGGCACAACTAGGAAGGCCTGATCCTGAGAAACTAGTTCAATCTCTATCAGCAGAACTCTTCCAAAATGTGCCCTATGTGTCGACCCTCGTTTCTTCTATGAATTACACACGCCTGCGTCTCATCATATATTATGAATGTGTGTTCGTGTGCCTTCTTACTTTGTGGGACTGTTTTCTTGAGCTCCTCTCGCAGCACTTTGTCCATCCTGTTGGTCAGAGCCGAGCTGAGGGCGTGACTGAGCTGCTGGCTGAGCTGCTCCTGAAGCTGCTGCTGGTGGTTCTGACTCTCCGCCAGAACTCGTTCTAGTCTCCGTCCTGCGGTCGCGACGGGTCAAGGCTCACAAGAACGACATGCAGACGGCTCATCATCAAGACATGCATGCTCAGCGTAGCAACAACATCGTACAGGTTCGGCTCACAAGATGTTTGAAAATAAAGATATTTTGCAACTTTTGGCTTAAACGGTGCAACGTTTTTCGCCTGGAGTTTCACGGCAGGTGGAAATGCACAATAAACAAACAGCCAAAAATGCAAAGTGAGTAATTAATGAGTGAAGGATACGCTCTTGTTCCTGGTGGTTGGTCAGCACGTGCTCTACCTGGACCATAATGGAGCTCTGCATGGTTTCAATCTGTCCACGCAGCTCAGTTAACTCCCTCTGCTGGCTACGCAGCAGCATCAGCAACTCATCCTGCACCTCTGCATTAAACTGGGAGCAGATGGAGAGAGAGAAGGTGAAGCAACAAAGACTGAACTCTAATCAAAAACGTTAAAAAAATAAATAAAGTTCTGCAGATCACAAGACAAGAAGCTATCAGGAAACGTTCGTATCTTGGGCACTAACAGCTGAATGGACTGAAAGTGAGTTATAGAAAATATAAATTATAAACATTTATTAGAATACATAGATAATTGTTTGCTGACATGTTAGAAACTTGAAAAGGCGCATAAAGGTCTTTTCAATAACTCTGTTTTTTATATATTTGGTCAAAGTGTGTAACAAAAACTTTGCGATGTAGGAAAACCACACGTGTTAATATGAACATTAACGTTGGCTCTGCTCCATTAAAGGGAGCCATGACACTTCAACAATAAACCAGCATGCACAACATCAGGACCATGAAACTAAAGCAGCGACGATGCCGATAAAAACTATTCACTCGTCTTGGAAGTCTTTTTTTCAACATTGAATCGTGGTCAACTTAATTCAGCATTTTTGACAAGAACTTCCAAAAAAAAAAAAAGTCTTTAACACAAAAATGAAAACAGTTTTCTACACCGTGATGTCAATTAATTAAAAATGCGATTCGGCCATCGTTAATTTTAATATTTATACACGTGCCTTTCCTCCTGTGACACGTTAAAATGTCCTCTGTGGGAAAAAAAAGTCTATAAAACTCAGTCCGAACAACTCCTGAAAAGACGCCTTATCGGGCAAAACAAGTGAAAGCACCTGTGTGCGCTTACAATAGGCGTGCAGGGCGCTCGAGTGCTGATAAGGCTCAATTTGTTTCCAACAGAATGAGTCATTCAGAGATACAAAAGGGGTTTTTTTCTTCCCCCTCCTTAACCATTCATACAAATACTGTAACGCACATAAAGAACCAAAGGAGGATGGAAAGTTTTTCAGGGAGCAAATTACCTGAGCAGAATCCATTTGTCTGGACTGAGACGACTCACTGCAGAGAGAAGAAACCGAGTTTAAACACCTCGAACTGTAACAATCAATCAGGCGGTACGTATTATTTAAAGTGCATTTAATGAAATCCTATTCTGATTCATTGGACGGATCATTTTACGACACAGAATGTACATTAAAGTCTGGCTTCGGCTGCTGAATTTAATTGTGCTGAATGGACAGACTGAAGGATTGCCGAAGCATTTGTCAGATGAGCGCATAAAACCGCAGTCGCTTTAGTTAAATAAACACGTTCTTCTGCCAGAACAATACACCAAAAGAGGCATCCCTGTTTGTGGAGAGCGTTACAGACTGTGTGTGTAAACAGATGAAGAGAAACGAATGATTTAATGGTTTGTTTAGACGTTCAACTGCTTCGGTTGCTCACACGTTGGTGAGTTTTGTTACAAGACGATCCGGATTAAGGGTTTCTCTAAATGTCATGTCATCTGAACTAGTTTCTGTGTAAATCTCGGGTTGTCCTGGACACCGTTTGTTTGGCTTTGAAGCTTTGGTAAATATTATCTGTGAATATCTGAAGTTTTGGCAAACCTAACGACAATAATATTACAATTAGCCATATTTATTAACATGCAGTTCCTGCTCTTAACAGTCTTCCAATCATTTGCCAAACTCGTCTGGCGCTTGTCTGAGTTTTATTTCAGATGTTTCAGTTTTTCTCTTTTTAGTTTTTTTCTAGCATAGTTATAACCTTTAAGACTGTCATGCGTCACTGTTTGAAACATTACAGCAGAGCAGTGACGCACAAAACTCTCACTAAGATTAAATATTCTGATCTGAGAATAACCAACTAATTGGAAACAACGAATGAAGAGGAAAACTACATTTTAGAAAAAGCCATTTGCTCGTACCATCATGAAGATTAGATGTTTGTGGGTTGAATTTATGGAACAATCTGGACGATGATCTCAAAACTATTTTTTTTTTTTAAATTGAGAAAATATCCACAAAAAGACTGCTTGACAAATATAATAATGTGGAAAAGTAAAGGTGTTCATGGGGTTTCCTAAAAGCTGTACAAGTATAAGGTTGGATGCAAACAGGAAGCAGCGAGATATGAGATGTACAGACGTGAAGCTAATAAGTTAAACGTCATTCTACTCGTTTTTAGACATTATTTTAGGGTCTGGAGTTTGTCATTTTGTAATTTTCGTGTGTGTTATTTTGTCTTTATGATACTGTGGCTTGTCTGAAATAAATCAAATAAAGAAATAAATAAATGTTGATGCTTTTTTTGTATTTCATGGGCTGTTTGGGATCTTTGTGGTGACGCATGTACAAAGAAGTGAAACCAAAATAATGCAAAACTACAAGGATGTGGACATTGACTACAAGGATTCTACTGCTGAAACCATGAATGTTTTTAATTGCATAATATTCCCAATCAAATATATTAAAAGTTTTGGTGAATGCAATGCTAATTATATTAAATGGAGCCACTGCTGGTAGCGTGCAGGTTGCTGCTCCTCATAGTTTTCAGGTCGTTTGCCAAACTTGTGCCAGATCTGTGATATCTGGCACTTGATTTTTTTGGAGATCATCTTCCCGAATTTTAAAGTTAATTCCAGACATGAGACTGTTTCCAGCTGCTTGGTTTTATCTTTCTAGGATAGGTGTCCCACAAGGAGTGCTGGATTAGAGCAGTGATGCAGAAAACTATCTATTTAATTAGTGTAATAAGAATTTAATCCATAATTAAGAATGTTGCATTGCTATTTCTTATTTTATGAGGTTTTGTGGGGATGCATGAATTAAAAAAAACAAAACTACACATGAAAAGCTTGTGGGTTGATTGTCATCACAACCGTCAAAGCTTCAAAGAATTCTGTTCAGCCTCTACTGAAATCATGACTTTTTTTTTTAATTGCATGGTATTCCCAATCAAATAAAACCACACCTGTCATCCTTCTTCATCTTCCTCTTGAGCTTTGGCGAGCCTCGCGGTGAGGTCTTCCAGTCCTTAACCGGTAGTCTGTGAGAGGAGCGCGAGCCACAGTTTCCAGAGGACGACGCCAGACTGGCCACCTCGTCGTCAGGGTCACTGAGTCAAAGGCAGAAACGTAAACAGTAAAACCACTGCGGCTTCCCGAGAAGCAGCTCTGTAATCATCTCAGAAAGCAGCAACAGCAGCAGCATCAACTACAGAATTCGTGTTGTGCAACGCTTCGTGATGTCCTCCGTCTAGAGTGACAGACTTGTCTGTTTATTTGAACAAACAAGGAGACGTTGTGTTAGCTTGTGTTACCTCTGCTCGGCGCCGGCATCCTGGCTGTCGTTCTGCGTGAGGTGATAGGAGCGCCGGTGGTAAGGCGAGCTCAAGTGCCTGTCCTTCGGCTCCTCTCTTGAGCTGCAGCAGACAGAAAAAAAAAATCATAACAGCGATTCAACGCGGCGAGTTAAAAACCTCAGACGAATCATTTTCACCGTGCAGACATTAAACAACAAACAACCTAAAGAAAATGTCAACAACAATATTATATCACCTTTTGCTTTACAACTGAAAACCTTATGCAACTGCTGATTCAAGGTAATGGGCCCATTATCAGATCAAGAAGTTCTGGGACAGTTGGTGGTACTAACCGCACTAAAGCATCATATTCAAGAAATCCATAAAAACACATCTTTACAACAACCCATAAACCCTTTTTCCTACTTGTCCCTTTCTCCATTTGTGTTCTTGCCTACGTTTAAAAGCATCTTGAAAAGCTCTATGTAAGTATTATGTATTGTTATTATACACGCACAGAAAGCCTCATGGTCATACGCTTGTAACATGTACAAGCAGTAAATGTTATGTGACTGCAAAACACTGCAGCAACAACAGCACGACATGTTCTTGTGGCACATTTACAATTTCTCCATGAACCACAAACTAAAGCGGAGCAAACATCTCAAAGCATGTTCATTGTTTTCTCCAACATTCACGAGGTTGTGCAGCAGGATTTAGTTCCCCGGAGTCGAAGTATCGAGGCAGAGTTTTACTGTAACGTCCTGTGGCGTCCGAAGGAAGACGCGCTGATTACTCGAGGGTTTTTTGGCCAAAACAACAAAATCGTCGCTCTTATTAGATTTGGCTCCCTGTGACTTCTTCTTGTTCCTCCCCAAAATAAAATTCAAGCTGAAGGGCTGCTGTCTTGACACAGTTTAGGAGCTTTACTGCAAACTAGATGCCAACAAGCTCGCGGAAGTGGAGTCTTTTACTTATTTGGGGAGCAACATCAACAAGCAGGGTGGTACAAACGCAGAAGAGGGAGAGCAACATTCAGAGCTCTAGAGTATCACGACAACAAACAAAAGTAAGGTGTTTCAACTCAAATATAAAATCAGTACTCACGGTTCTGACAATGACGAAAAATCTGATTAGTAAAGTACCGACCTTCCTTTACTTCAAACAACAAAGGTAAAACAGCTTTGACTCTCTGAACCACCAGCAGTTTCTGGAAAGTCTTTTTTGCTCCTGTCACATTTTTACTCACTAATTCTTGTGAGACCTGAACCTCTGTGGGAACAGAACAACCATGACTAGAAGTAGAGAGGACATCTTCTAAGCAGCAAGTTCTCATGAAATAAATCATAAAAAACAGGGAAAAAAAACAATTTGCTTAAAAAAGATCCTCAAGAAACACTGGTTTGATGAGATCATACTAATACTAGTAGAGCAGGGGTGTCGAATCCTGGTCCTCGAGGGCCGCAATCCTGCATGTTTTAGATGTTTCCCTCTTCCAACACACCTGATTGAAATGATCAGCTCATCATCAAGCTCTGCAGAAGCCTGATAACGATTCTGATCATTTGAATCAGGTGTCTTGGAAGAGGGAAGCATCTAAAACATGCAGGATTGCGGCCCTCGAGGACCAGGATTGGACACCCGCGTAGTAGAGGAAGGAATCGGGGTAAGAAGACGGCCCTAGTTTGGCCATACTTCATGAAAATCAGTGACAAACACCACCAGACAAGCACTGATGTAGAACCTTCCAGTTAAAGAACACCTGGCATCTACAAACAGACATCAAGACATTTGGGCGTCAGCGATCACAGATGGTGCTTGACATGTTCACGTAATCAACCTTTAAAGGAGTGGTACAGGTGTTGCAGGAGCACTGGGAGCAGTGTATCGCTGCACAGGACACGGTTGTTAATTTTTACTTTTCGATCACCCTTTGCATGTTTTGTAGAGAGAATAAAACACGGTTTGCTAATGAATGTTTCATGTATGTACACGTCAGACGACTCACCAGTCTCCCAGACCGTTGTCCCTGAGACTGTTCCTGGTTTCCCTGGTGATGTCCGGGGCAGCCGGCCAGGGCGTGTGGCTAACGCTGCCGTCCGAGGAGCCTCCTCCTGCGCCCGGGTTTTCCTGCGATAAAGCGTTCTCCAGCAGAGACGGAGTGTGGCTGAGTCTGGGCTCGGACTCCACCGAACCACCGACGGGTCCGTCTGCACCTCCCAGTTCAAGGGGCAACAGGCTGTGACAGAAAATAGATATTAAAAAAAAATAAAAATAAAAAATAAAAAAAGATATATGTTATATTGATTTAAAAAAAAAAAAAGAAAAAGAAAGGTGAGCTTTTACAGGATTGAATTTCCCTTCTGGGATGAATAAAGTATTTCTCATTTCATTTCATTTCAAAATAGAATCGTTTCGTTTGCATTTTTTGCAAATTCTAGGCAATGCAAGGCAAGTGTACTTGTTCAGCATCTTTCAACAATGAAATGCTGTGCGTGAAACATCACAAGAACAAAGAAACGAATCAGAAAAATATAAAAAGACACTTTTCAACAAGATTTGAAAGGGCAGAATAAATTTGAGGATAAAAATAAACTACAATGGAATCAAGAATACAGTGTCGTGCACTAAATATGACCAAGTCCAACTTCATCAAATCCAAACAGAAAAACGTGAAGGTCTAAAAAGAAAACTGAGTGTCTCTAATTTCTGCATGTTTTTACTTAACACCATTCTGTACACATGCATACAGAATGTTCTTGAGGCTTTCTATCTATTTTCCCATCTTCCTGACAGCTGTTGTTGTAGATATTCTTAGCTTGATCTTCTACTCAGTAACGCCATCTTTCCCTGTTGTTAAAATACCTGTTGTTGTTGGCCGTACGTGGCGAGGTCAGCAGGTGCAGAGCAGAGGCGGCCGAGGCCATGCTGTCTGTCTGCAGGGCAGAAAGAGGTAAAGGATCCAAGCTGGGCACCAGGCTTCGCTGGAGCTGCAGGGTCTGGGACGCGATCTCCGGCATGTCCTGGGACATGGCCGTGGAGGCCGAGGAGATGACGTCGGGGGAGCGGGCCCTCGTCGGAGAAGCCAGAGGTGGCAGGAGGGGAGAATCCAGGACCTGAGGGCTGTCGAGTGCCAGAGGACCACCGGAGGACGTCAAAGCCTGGAGATAGAGAGCAAGAGAGTATCGACAAAAGTCAGGCAACGGAGAAAGACAAGAGGCTGGTGGAAGTAGGAGAGCGTTGCCACATCTCACCTGCAGGTTCTCGAGTCCAGGCAGCAGCACAGCAGACGCAGCTCTCGGGCTGCTGGTGGAGGTTGAGAGTGTTAAACTGCTGCTGCTGTTGTCTGCTCTGTTAGGACTCTGACTGACATCGTCCATGGCTCTGAACACAGAAGGAGAGGTGTATGTGTTCACATCAGAAATTATTCTATTAGCAATCAGGGGCGTCTGTGTGTAACAGAGAAGCCTGTGCAGGTATGATTACTACCAGTCACAACAGAGGTCACGTTAACCGAATATTTTCTGTTATTGACTGAATAAAGTTAACAGTGATAGAAAAATCTGAAAGCAATCTGTGATGTTGACTGATTTAAACACTGAAGGTGAACTAGTGTTAACGTTAACAAATCACAATTAGAGTAGCAGCTGCTCGCAGTATCAGTGGTCTCTCTTTTTAATCAATAAAACCACCGCAAAATCAAAGACGTGCACACTGTAGAGCTTCATCCTAGTGAAGTGAGTGCTCGTAAGATCGGAGAATCCCACTTTCAGATGGTCTTGTTATATTCAGATTCATTTTCCTGGGAGAAATGCTCCCTGACTTTAAACCTCTGGCTGAAGTGGGACTGGCAATAATCTCCACGGTGTCAGTGGTGGTTAATTTCATTTGTCATGACTAATTCTGTAAAACTGCACTGTTTATATTGGTCTGTATTAGATACAGTGGCTATGGTGTTTCAGTGCTCTCAGAAATAAAATAAAAGCCCTCTCATCTGTGTTGTGTCTGTCTCTGCTCATCTTTTCTCTCCACGCCCTAATAAGTGCATAATCTGCAAGTTTATTCTGTAAATTTAATATTCTTGTGATCAAGTTGCTCTTCAAAATTAAATGCTCATAAATACGCCTTATTACCATCAAAAACTGTAATTTAAAAGACAAGCAGCAACGAATTATGACAGAATTTTTACAATTTTGACAGACAACAAAGTGACTTGGGTTATTTAATATAACGATTAAAATGTTTGTAACTGTGCATTACACTAAAAATCTTCTATAAGGACTTTTATCATCTATTTCCCAACTGTAATGAGCCAAACTACACATACCACGAACACTGATGGGAGAATATTACCAACATTAAACATCTTAGAGGTTCTAGTGTATGACAGAGACTTTCCAATACTTATCACTTTTTTTTTATTATTATTAAACAATCTGTTTCCTTGAAAACGACAGAGAAAATTAAGATACACAAAAAATATTGTGATTATTTTGACAGACACTGCAATATGAGCTGTAAATTTTATTTCTTTTCCACTGAAACAAACATAAAAGTTACGCTTTGCACCAAACAAGCACATCTCTTTACGTCTGAAGAATATAATTTCTTGGCCCGGGCATCTCTATAAAGCCACAACACTTTGTTATAATGGTATGTTGTGGCACATTTAGTCTTTTAACGAAAAAAACGCAGCCACAATGATTTGATATTGTACATTATTGGTGATCCTGTTCAGCCCGACAGAAAAAACAGAAAAGCTCACCTGTTAGTCGAGTCAGAGTTGCTGCTGATCGCCGTCACGATGGTCAGGCTGCTGGCGCTGCTGCCTGGAGACGCTGGAACCTGGATTGTGAATTTTAAAAAAAAGAAAAAAGAAGTGATTTACAGGCAGCAAATACAACGAAGGGTTTGGAAATGTAGTTTCTCGGTGGTTAGAAACGGCGCAAAACGAAAGCACAATGCAGACGATTGAAGTGGGTCGCATCATAACCAAATTCTAATGACACCGATAAACTTTATTTATTTCTTGCTGCGTCCTTGCATCATACCCCTCGCAGGTAAGAAAAACAAGGACCTACTTCAAAAGTAGTTTGTACAGACGGTGCTATTAACAGTGTCATGCACTTGACCGATATGTGGGAGAAGGTGCTATTCACTGACGTTGCTAGGCGACAAATAAAAACACGCTTGACACACAGAGTTCATCTGCTGCAGCTGTAGTGTTTCTGGAAACTCAGACACCACGCAGACGGATCGCTGGGAGGGAGAGTTCGTACCGAAGTGCTCGGTGTCATGAACGCGTCGGGGGTCATCAGTTTGGGCATCGTTGCGCTGCCGGCTCCGGAGTTCGACAGGAAGTCGGAGGGAGCAGGAAGCGATGGGATCTTCCTCAGGTCGGTCTGGGAGCCGCTTCCCGACTCCTTGTCGGAGCTCTGGTCAGTGAGATGGTCGGAAAACCCTGCTGGGAACACACAACGCACAGAGTTCTTCAGTTATGTGAAGATATTAAACATACAAAGAAACCAAAAATCCCACGTTAAACACCAAGTGAATTCAATCAAAGTACTTCTCGGGGCTCCAGACCAACTTTTTCATTTGTTGTATTGGTGCATCTGCATTTAGGTGCACGCAAAATGTGCCACTGGGCCTTTTGAAGCTTCAAATTTAAGTGTAACAATTATTTCAGTTTCCACACATTCAGGTAATTTCTTAAAGCAAAATGTAAACAATTAACCAAACAAATAAGGGTGAATATCAAAGTTTGAAAGACATTTAAACTCATTCGTTTTATGAGGATGACTTTGGAGCCACTCATCTGTCAAGGACGAGTTTCTCCCATTTTTAACTTTTCAGTTTGGAACCTCGACATCCCAGCAGCAGAAGCTCTGATTTCTGGCCGCAGTCTTTGCAACAAACGCAGTGCATGATGTTCTTCCATCATGTCTCAGTGTTTCCCACAGGTTGAGAACGTACTCGTGGTGGTGCAGCGGGACCAATGTGCATGCAGGTTTCTTTCTAAAGCTGTAATTCACAATTTGCATTTCCTTAAATGCAAATCATGAATCGGAAGAAGCTGCAAGGCAGCTGCGCACAAAGAAGCCTCAATGATTGTAAATACAGCAGCTCAGTTAGTTGTGTGACTAAAATTTAGTTTGAAAAAACTGAAATAAGACTTACTTGTGTCAGATTTACCTAAAACCAAGGCAGATGTATTTACCGTCCAGAGACACAAACAGACAGACGGATGAAATATCAGGCACACCAGTGCAACCAATGAAAATGTTTTATTGCATTTGACATATTTTTGGTAACACGAGAGATCAAAATGGTTGCGATCTGGAGCCTCGTCGTTTAACAAATCCGTATGTTTTAAGTAATTTTGCAAAATGTGAATTTAAGCTCAAAAACCAAAAACGAAATACAGAAGAGAGAAGATCAAAAAAAAAAAAGGAGGATCAAAAAGGGAGCAAATGAGGAGCTGGAGTGTGTAGTCAACAGTTATCCTTTGAGTGTTTGTGTGAAAACTTACCAAAGCCATCTTGTGAGTCAGAATGAGGAAGGAAGCCTGCAGAGCTTGAAGTCGTGTTGGGCTGAAACCAGATCTGAACGTCCTGCAAACTCCTGAAAACACACACGTGCAGATAAATTAATCACAATCCCAGTAACTAAAACCAAAGTCCACTGCACTGCGTCTTGCACTCAGTTATGCAAACAGGAACCAGAGGAAGCATCTCTGTATTGATGAGTTGCTCTATCTCTACTTTAAGACATGCAGCTTTCTACAAAGAACCGCCACATGCAGCTTTCTTCTTCTTTTCCACAATAAAAACACATGCAATTCCAAAACACGACCGTAAGATGAGCAACTATGCCCAAGATAACTCACACCTGCATCTAAAGCAATGCAAATGTCTACAGGCAGCTTGACGATAATATATTTTTGGATGAAAGGCTTCTTGAAGAAGAAGGAATACTATAAATACAATAATGTAGGCAAATATATCCCGTATTTAATATCTTTCAACTGTCACGTTTACAGGAAATCAGTGAGAGTTTAACTGTGAAACTCATTCCTGGGTGACGGTTATAAATAAAATGCTAATCTTAGCAACTTGCTGTGCTTTCTTATTGACTTCCTGTAATCCAAATTGTCCTTGGCAACACTGAAGGTTTACTACACTCCGCTCAAGCCAGTGCGAGCTTAACACTGACATCACACGCTGGAAGAAAACTCACTTAGTGTGGACACAGTAGAGTTTAATCTGGATCCCAGACTTGGACTCTGTGGGTCCTTGAGTTCCCTCTGGAAGAAAATATGCAAACACAAAGTAATCAGCATGAGTTAGGAGCAATAATTCTACATATTTAACATCCACTTAAAAAATTAAAGCCAAAACTGCACTGTGTAAATGTGCATGAGCACCTGTAGTCATGCTTTCGCTCTCCTCCTCAGCGGGAAGGACCTCCGTGTGTCGCAGTCGGCTGTGGGAGACGTCTCGGACACCGAAGCTGAGCACCGGGTGGGTCAGCAGGAACTCCGACACGGCCGTGAAGCTCGCCTTTCCTTTCTCCAGGTCCTGCCGCAGCTCCATCACATACAGAACCTGGCAGAGAAGAGGGACGTCAGCAAGTGTGGGGCTGAAGTGGTGAAAGGCAAAGCAAAGGTCCATGGGGCGAGACAAATCCCTCAATAATGGTGTGGTCTAGAAACAGTGGCCTTCAAAACAAATTAGCTCCAACTGGCTCCCATGTGGCACAGCACATGATTTAATGCCTCAATTTAATTAGCGTCTTATTGTTTGTATCTACAGAATTAAAGCTCGATGTCAGTGGATTTATGCTGAATGCTAGAAAAGGGGAAAGGAAAACTATAGCAATGGTTGCTATACTAATGCTAATTCACACAACTGGCAGCGTTTTGCTCACCTTCCTCTGTACGTCAGTGAGGATCAGATACTCAGCAGAAAGGTCCAGACTGGCCTTGAGACTTGGCAGAGCCGAGGAGTTGAATGGATCTGGAGAAAACCTATGAGAGGGGGAAAAAAACAAAAACATAATTAATACTCGGGATAGATAGATTATCAGACTGGCCGATTTTTGGCTTTTTCCGATTCTCCGTATCGGCATTTTTATCAATAAACAAAATGCGCTACTTCAGGTCAGATGCAGCCTCCTCTCTCTGTCTCACAACTGTCTGAAACACAAGACGTCACCACAAACCAGGACATTCTCTCACAGCGGCTAACGCTATGCTAACGGCTAGCAGATAAATTAGAAGGCAGCCACAGATTACCTGAAACAGAATCTGGAAAACAATAATAATGCTTTAAGATCTGGATCTTAGTGGGTGATAAAAGTGATAGAACAGATCAATAAAACAGAGAAGAACAACAGACAGAACTACAGGAGACAAACTGATCAATCTCAGTGGATCCCACATAAACAGAGGAGATAATTTAATCACTCTTATTTCTATTTTACATATTCAGCTACAATCGGCCCTTACTAATAAAGAAGCCCAGTTATGAATGACACCTTCTCTGCTATCACACGCTGTTAAAACATTACTTTTAATGTATATCAGCTCCAAATATCGGTCATTCTTGACAACCAAGAATCAACATCTGCCCTAAAAACCCACATCAGTCGATCCCTAAGTAGAACCTTCAAACGGTGTTCTTAGACAACTATGTAAAAGAATGGTATGAGCCTGAGATATCAGCAACAATCATCCCAAACGTCTTGATTTAAGAACTAAATTTGACTTTGGGGTCAGTCTGAAGCACCTATTTGCCTTCCAGGTAGACATTTATAGGGTTTACCATTAGTCCAGGTTAGTTAGCTGGAACTGTAAAAATGACTTTCCTGGTTTGGAGTCAATCTTTTAGAGAAGATACTGAACCGATTGACCTCTTTAGGTAAACGTAGTGCAGATGTGCGCTCTACAGCTCGTCTATACATTCCTGACCTCACGTAAACCTCACTCCCTGTCCCTCTCAAGGCCAGATTATACCCAGGCGCCGACTTATCTTTGTTTCCCTTTCACTCATAAATCTGGATGTGCCTCCTTCTGAAGGAGGATACCAGAGTAAAGGTGTGAGAGGGATCTGTAGAACTGATGCTGGCATTACGTGCGTGAACTGTTGCTCCGTTCGTGTCACTTCTCCTGATATCAGTAAACCTTATTTCAGCCTCAAGTCATCTGAGTCTCCGGTGTGTCTCTCTGTGTCGGGCTCCTCATCCTACATCAACCTCTTCCAGAATTTCCACAACAGGAACGACTGTGGTCAAACCAGCGATGGTCCTGCCCTTTAGGTGTGTCTTCATCTGTTGAGCAATGTCTGCAGTCTCAGTTTTTAACTCTCTTCTACTGAAATCTCTGGTTTGGAGTCAAGTTTCCTTTCAGACATGAGCCTTATTTCACCATCTATGCTACGTGTTCACCAAAGAGGCTTTTTTCTTTTTGCCAGATGAAATAAACACCCAAATGCTCTTCTGAAGACACCCAGCTGAGAGCGTTTGAAAGCTGAGATGTTTCGGTTGATGTGACACAGATTAACCGCAGAAGTAATTAATTACAGATCCGGGCGGAGCGGAACAATGAAACCTTTCCTCTCCTCGCTCTTGGACCTGTTTGCTCACATTGCTGTGGCGCTCAGCTCAATATCAACGCTCGTTCCAGTAAAAGAACAGAAATTTAGTTCTAACTTTAACCAGCACAAATAAATCTGAATCTTGGCAGATTTGCTTGTTTCCTTCCCAGATTATGCTTTGAGCTCATGATGTGAGCGGTGCTTGGAGTGAGAGAAACAGGTGAAACTCTGGCTTTTTTTTTTTAATCCACTATTCATGCTGTCAAAAACCTTCTCCTTTGTTGTTCAGTCAATATTTGTATATTTGTCCTGTTGTTCCTCCACTATGGAGGCGACACCTGGTTAAAAATGACAAACTGTACCTATAGTTTTATCTAAAGAGGAACATTTTTCAACTCTTGACGGCCAGAGAAAGGGAAAGCGTTCAGCGGAGAATAGACGCTCACACTGCCAGCTCTTTGACCACAATGTAAATATGGATATTTCTATTGCAAACAACTGAAACAATAAGCTGCCTGATGGACACACCTCCTGACTGATCACTTTCAGTTACAGCAAAATTGAAAGTGAAACTGCTTGCGCCTGTTCACGCCATGGATCAGCATTATGAAATAGGAAAACCTTAGCAGTCCTGCCCAGTTACTAACATGTAACAGGGGATCAGGATGATTTAAATTCTGAACGGCAGATCAAAAGGAACAACCTGATGGTCTGTAAACAGGTCCAGGAAACGGTGCACCACATCTTCAGCTCCTGGTTCTGATCAGCTCCAGTTATCAGGAACCGCCAGAAAGGAACCCTACAAACAGAAGGGAGGAGAAAGAGAACATAGATGAACTAAAACTCAAACAGCAGGGCTCAGATTAATCTGTATATGTGAAGAAAACTGAAAGCAGTAGAGCGTATACTGACTCGGGGTCCTGCCGCTTGTGGTTGTCGCAGAAAAGGAGGCAGGACAGCGGACGTCCTCCGTGAGGCCGCAACTCGTGAAGACATCTGGACAGCAGAGAAGACGAGGAAGTGAGAAAATCATAGAGTGGGAGAAGGAAATACACAGAAATCACACGATAAAATGAGATATGCGTTTAAAAGGGTACAACAGTGATGGAAGAACGTCGTCCTGTTTGCTTACCTCGGCTTGTCTTGTCCTCCCTCTATGTATATCTGCCAGAACTTGATGTATCCGTCATGGCTGGCTGTGGCTAACACTGTGCCATCAGGAGACAGCGCACCTTCGCTGACTCGCTGGAGAAACGAAGAACACGCAATGGATTTTCTCATTTATGCATTAAAGAACACAGCAAAATCACTGACATCTTAAATGACTACACCATGCAAACCAAGAGGCTAAAATACAGTTTGTTCACCTCAAAGAAGGCAGTATTAGTTTTCCTGAACTGATTTGTTAACTGACCTCTCTCCTGAGTCCTACCTGGGTGTGTCCCTTGATGGTGATGAGGCCTTCTTTCACTTCTGTGGCATCAACAGGCCAACTGCTGTTGTTGGCTCTCAACAGCTCCAGGTCCCAAACTTCAGCCTGGAAGAGAAAGAAAGTAAAGTTAGAGGTGAAATGTTTGTTCTCGTTAAACACCAGAGCTCATTAATCTGATGTCAGTGTTCTTTGTAAAGAAAAAAAAACCTTTAGAAAAACATCATTCCCTTATGTGCATAATCTCTTAATGTTTACTCACATGAATGTATTTTTTTTGCAGGTTTGTGCGCTTTTTTTTTAAACTACAGCTCAATCACGTTAATGAAACTACCTTGTTACCATCATCATGGATGTCAGGTGGGATGCAGGGGATGTGTATCTCTGCAAAAAGTGCATTTGTACCTCCCAATAAAAACATGAAAGCTACAAGAGACTTTTATTCTGAAAAGCTGCTATAACATTTACTCATTGTGCCTGATTTTTGTGTTTTGTTTTACATAAACACAAACGTTTCCACCACAAACTGATGCAGAAAAGGCACAAACTGGTGCATAAAAATCACCAAAAAGCTTCTGATGCTTAAAACTGCTGCTCGCTGCAATAAATGGGAGGAAAAAAAATACGCAAATGCCCTGAATTTCTAATTTAGTTCTAACTTTAACCAGCACAAATAAAACCAAATCTTGTCAGATTTGCCTGTTTTCCTCCCAGATTACGCTTTGAGCTCATGATGTGAGCGGCGCTGGAGTGGCATGGAGTGAGAGAAAAGGTCTGGCATTTAAAAAAAAAATAAAAATCCACTATTCATGCCATCTAAAACCTTCTCCATTGTTGTTTAGTGATTATTTGTATATTTGTCCTGCTGCTCCTCCACTGCAGAGGCAAAAATGACGCTTTAAAGTCACAAACTGGTGCATAAAAATACACCAAAATCCTCCAAATCTCTTGGTCCAGACCTTTGTTTAATGTCCTTCTCTCCCAAATGTTCAAACGAAATCTTCATAAAAACAGAATCTAAACCCCCTTTTCAGACATGGGATGGTTTCATCAGTTAGTATTTAGACATTTGTTACGTTAATGTTGAGTCGCAGTCGGTTGGAGATCATGTTGCAGTTCAGATTGGTGTTGTGTTGGAAGTGATATGTGAAAGCGTGTGAAGCGTTCAGGGACTGTTGTGTTTCAGACACGAAGCCAACACGTTAAAGCACAAGTTTGACTCTGTTTGCAGTTCTTCAACAGACATTTCTGTGTAAAACACTGGTACCCTGTCTTCGTGCAGGAGGGCCAGAGTCTGGCTGGTGTCATCCTGGTTCTCTTCGTTGTCGTCCTGGATGAACGGGCACCAGATGAGGCGATGGTGCGAGTTCAGTGGAGTGTCTTCTGGCCGCCGGACGTGAACCACAATCTGATCTCTGCAGGAAGTACGGGTTAAAGAAACTGGGGGGTAAAAAAGAGTAGTTCCTGGACGATCTGCTTCCAGGATGGGATAACAAGCCGTTTGCATAAAACTACACAGCAGTTAGAAGCACACAGAGATCACATTTACTTAACAGTGCAGATAAAAGACCTGCACGTCCTCCCACACGCTTTTAACAGTTTCTCCTACATGTCAGGATACAGTATCTTGCTGCCGGTGCAGGTGAGCTGCCAGACCATCAGGTTTCCCGCTTCATCCACGCAACCCAGCAGGGAGGAGTCGAGGTGGGCGAAGGCCAGATCTGTGACGGCGCCGGTGAAGCCCTTCAGCAGGGAGCGCTCGGCAAAATCCACGCTCAGCACCCGGATCATGGCGTGGTTGTTCGCTCCTGAGGGAAGCAGCAGTCATTTCAAAAGACAAAGATGAGCCTGTGGTTTTGCAGCAATCGATAGAAATCAATCGAGCAACCACAGAAACAACAAGTGTCGTGAGGCCAAATAGCAGTTTAATAAGAGAAACAGAACACAGTTGTTATTGGAGCCATTTTCTGTAGAAAGAAAACAGTCCCTTCTGTGAGAATAACATGGACACAAATCCTAGAAAGAGCACTTCTTTCAAATTAAATATAACATTTCTATGGCCTTCACAAAAACAATCCATGCACTTCATTGTAGCTGGGTGGCAGTGAAAACATCTGACCAGCCTCCCTTAAAAAAACAGGACAAATAATCCTAAACTATCTTCATAGTCGATTACAAGTTGTACGCTGCTTAAATACTTGTGTATTTAAAGTACACTGAGTGGCCCCAAAAAGTACTTGGACAGTTAAACTTAAATGAAGTTCATAAGGCCTTTAGATGAGCTACATTGATGAAGGTTGAGCAGAACTGGTTCCAAAAGTCTGACTCTAAAGGAAGCAAAGAACGTCTGCTTATTGGTCCCCAAACAAACTGTACTCGCATTAGTTTCAAATATACTGAGCACAACAAAACACCTAGCACAGGGTTGTCCAATCGTGGTCCTGGAGGGCCGTAGTCCTGCATGTGTTAGACGTTTCCCTCTTCCAACACACCTGATTCAAATGATCAGCTCATCATCAAGCTCTGCAGAAGCCTGATAACGATCCTGATCATTTGAATCAGGTGTGTTGGAAGAGGGGAACATATAAAACATGCAGGACTGTGGCCCTCCAGGACCAGGATTGGACAGACGTAACACAACTATCTGTGCTATTAGTTATGCAACTTGAATGTCTGCATGTCTTCCTATCTCTTAATGAATTTATACTCATTTAACCTCCTCAGCTGTTGCCGAGCTGTTTGACAAGCAGGTGAACAGGACAAATTATCTCATAACAATCGCTGTAATTCACAAAATGCTGCTGAAATCCGTTTCGCAAGGACAGGATCCTTGTTGTTATAGTAAATAAAGTAAACCTCGAAAAAAACATCCAAGACACCAGAGAAGAGACCACCATTGCGAGAGGTCTGATTACTATGTCTAGCTGTGCTTCTGCTGCTTATCTGAAATAAATAGTGTTTCAAGGAAATTTAGTGTGAAGAAATCAGGGGGACGTCAAAATGACATGATCCAGGACTCTTTATTTCCTTCCATGCAGGAACTATTCTGCTTATCGGTTCACGTTACATCCGACTAAAGTGACTTTACTGCCCTTATAGCAACAACAAACCCAAGAATCAGCGTCGCTGCATTCCAGAAAGAGGACTTGCAGTCAGGTTATGGCTGTGCTAACGTCACAGATTAAAAAACAGTAATTAAACTATATATGAAGTGTTCTTTCACATTGCTAGAAATACATAAGCAGTGCTAGAGGAAGTGTGAGACTCTGAATTTAAGTCAAAGTACAAAGAGCACGCCGCACAAGTCCTGCATTCAACTGTTTATTATGAAAGTACAATCAGGAAAATGTACGATGGAATTAAAAACAAAAGTCCAAGGAGCCACCACGACGCCATAAGATTATTTTTACTCGTGTAGGAGCCTCAACTTCCTGCCCAACATGAATCCAGAATCACGAGGAACCTGAACTGATAAGCAGAATCTAATTTCCAATCAGAATTCTTAAACCGACGCCCAACCCTACCGCAGAGCGCATTTGTGAGTAAAAATCAAGACAAACAGGCTGGAAACAGCAGCAAGGATGGCCTCAGAGATCGACAAGATTTACCAGCTCACCAAACAGAATCAACAACTGTGAGTAAAGAGAGAATGACACCGAGGAAACCAGTCACAGGCTCGTAGACGGCTAAAATTACATTTTCAAAAAGAACAGATTCAGAAGGACGGCAGCTTTTGGAGCCGTTTGTTATTTTCAGAATCCAGATTTAATGGATGTGATGAACTATAAGATGACTGTAAAGCAAAGAGATGGAGAAGTCAAAGTCTGCCTGTACTTCTTACAGTGTTGGAGGTGAGCTTGTCGTTATTGATGTAATCATGAGCACTAAAGGGACATTTTGGAAGCAAATGTATAAACAAATCAGCCAAAAAAATTTCTGACAGAAGCAGATATTTCAGCAGGATAAAAGGTCCAACGCACTGAAGCTGCCTGCTGGAGAATATTTCCCCAGGAGAAAATCAAAGTCTAACGCGGCCCTCCCACGGTCTGACCTAAATCCCATGGAGCACCTACGAGATGCCAAAGCGTCACCGTGGATGAACTAAAAGCTTTGCTGGCTGAAATATGAAGAACTTGCCTCCCCTTAGCTGTTACAGAACCTGGTTGATTCGATGCCCAGACGCTGTCAAGCGGCTCTGGAAGCTAACGGATGGCACGCTGAACAGTACAACACAGTAACTGTGATCCTCAGTGAAGCCATTATTGAGCGTCCAAATACCTCATTGACCTCATTTTGAACTGTAAACACCGCATTTTTACATTTAAAACCTATAAAGCGTCTTTTTTTATCTCATATTATGTAATATTCTGCTTGATAAGTGCACTTCTGCCACTTGTCCTTCTTTATAAAAATGCTATTTGCGTTGATTTTGTCGACTAATGTACTGAAATTCAGCCATTTTTAAGCATGGATGAAGCAAAGTAGTATATTTTTGAGGCCACTGTGCACGACTACGATTTAACGTGACAGAAGTGTGCACTGAATTAAACACTCTCAATCAAAATGAAAGTGTTTCATGATAAAAAGGCACTTCTAGCTTTATTGTGTTTGGTTGTAGTTCATGTTTTGATAAACACAACACAATCTGATGTCAGAGTTCTTTGTAAATCATTCAAAAACCATCATTATAGATCCACAATCACAGGACTATTACCTTATGTGCACCTTAACGTCACATCCTAATGTTTACTCACATTTGTTTTTAGTTCATAGCATCCATTCAAAGTTTAAAGTAACTCATAACTACTGCGGGATGCTCACCTCTGATGGCGTAGGCCAGGAAGGAGTTGGACACCGCGATCAGTCTGCCGTAGTAATACTTGTGTTCCCAGTCGTACTTGGCAACAGGCTGAATCTTCACCTGAATGAAACACACAAAAAAAGCACAATAAATATCTCTGAACAACACTTCTAAGGACATTTTCATACTGTGTCTATACTGCATTGTTGTTGTTCGTACAGTTAATCCTGTTTATATACTGCATATAGTTCATAGCATTAGTACTGTTTACACTGTTCAGACAGTTTATACTGCTCATACCACTATTTATCTCTCCCTGTAGATTTAGATTATCTACTTTATATGGTTCTATATATTGATATAGTCATATGTTAGTGTGTTCATAGCGCCCTGTCCATTCTATTTATACTGTAACTATTGTAAATAATGCACTTTGCTGCTGCTTTTGCACCTCTGGTTAGACGCTAAACTGCACTTTGTTGAGGTTTTCTGGAGCTCACGAGCCAAAGATTGTCCAAATAATGTAAAAATACATGTATGTTTTATAAATACACACCAGCCCCATTGCTACTTCTGTTGTACTCATGCAACGGAGGAATAAAAATTAGTGCAGGGATCTTTAAAAAGCAAAGCGGTGTGTGTTGTGAGAGAGGGCGAGCTCATGAGACCACATTGAGTCATCGCTGCTGCAGGTTTTTGATGAATATAAAAATAACAGACCCTTTTTCAGGTACACGCTGTTTCAGGTACCGAGTGGCTCCAAAATTTCTGGTGCATTCTCTCTCCGCTGCCATTTTGTAAGTGACGACGTGATCCCTTTACCTTGCTGCTGCCTCGAGCCTTGCTGTTGATGCTGGAGTCTTGACTGGCCACGATCTCCACGCTGTTGGAGGTGATGGGGATGCAGGTGGAGCCGTCGTCTCCGGTGAGGCGGCTGAAACAGCAGCACATCGATTTAGTTTCCTGAATTCTTCACGGAGATTATAAGGCGACTCTAAGGACACACTCACATTATCTGAGTCTCCTGGGCGGTGCTCAGGTCCGTGGAGAGCGGTCTGGTGGATTCTGACATGGTCGACCGGTCGGTGCTTCCCAACACTCCCAGTAACCCGTTCAGCTCTCCGTTAAAAGACGGCTTCCTCTGACCATCGCTCGACTGCGTGTCTGAGGAACACATTGGAAGCAGCGGTTATTCTGAGAGCCTGCAAAGAGGTCATATCTGTTCTGGAGGTTTCTTATTGTATTATTTTGAAACCTTAACATATAACTTGTGCATCAAAGTGTAAAAAGAACTAGACTTTCAGCTTAAAAGCACATTTAGCGGCGCAAAGTGGGTCAAACGTGGGTGAAAAAGCCCTCAGCATCGGTTTAAATCCCACCAGGTCAGCCAGACTGTTACTGGATGTCATTTCTTGTCCACCTCTATGACATCTATTGTATAAAGACCAAAGAAAAGCACATTCTGCATCACAAAAACCACATTTTGACTGCTTTCACTAATTAGAAACTTGGAAATTATAACTCTCTTATTCTTGATTGAGTTTTGTATTCCAGGGAACGGTGAGTAAAAAAATATTTACTCTGCTTCTTGGCAACTCTGTTTAAATTACAGAGGTGGTTCTGTATTAGACATGATTCATCCCGGAGGAAAAAAACAGGCCACTGGCAACGTTGACAAATTATCTGATTTCATAATATCCTACATTTTTGTGTTTTTGTACAGACAGACACAAACTATCACTGAAGAGGCTCCTTCTGAATACCTGCTAATTTGCTCTTACAGTCAGATAACGATATCTGCAAGGTGCTAATCACACGCTCTCTCTTACAAACACAAATAAACCTCATTCTAACTGCAGGAGAATCACTTTTTTCCACAGCACACGGTTAATAAAGACTGCTTTCTGTTTGTGTTGGCCGGTTTCAGGGCTGAGCTTGTGTTCCCGCTGGCTCACAGCCATTAACTACTTTCAACAGAAATAAATCGCGGATTAATGTTATTAATTGCAACTCTTGTTTATCCGCAAAATGAAGTCAAAGCGTTTGCTCTGAAATGGTTCTACAGGCATGAAGAAACAGTCATTTGATTTGCTATTCTCTATCCAGTTGACCTTACACTAAACAAACAAGCTAAACAATTGATTAATTCTGATAGTACTACCACATTGAAGGTTTTGATAAGACAACAGGTGTAGATGATCATGAATTACAGTCTCCTCCTGCACAGTGAAGTCAAAATCTTCTCAAACAATGATTCAGAATGGGGCAATCATTTTATTACTGACATTAATCCTGCTCAATGTGGTTAAAACAAGAATTTAGTAAGGGAACAGAGTGAATACTGATTCAATCAAAATATATTTCACATATCTGTGAAAAGAAAGTTGCCAGTACGCTCATTTACTTCATAAAAAAACAATTATTACCCTTCTTTTATGTGCTACATGGTTCTGATTCTCCATAATCTGTAGCTATCCAGGCATGGTATGGCTGCAACTAAAGATCATCCTCAATGTCGATTTATCTGTTGATTATTATCCTGAGTAATCAATTTGTTGTTTGGCCGAGGAAATACCGGGTAATGGTCCAAGTCCAAGATGATAAATGTCTTGTTTTGTCTTCAACCCAAAAATATTCATTTACATATAATAGAGAAGGAAATAAACCAGAAAATATTCACATTAAAGAATTTAGACTTTTTGTTTTTTCATAAACGTAGTAGTTGCCAGCGAATCACTTCACTAATCAAGTCAATTGCTATATTTCTAATTTACAGAAAAAGGCAACAAAGAAAGGCACCTAAAGGTTCACTATCCTACTTTCACATTTCAATATTATTTAAAAGAAAGTTAAACACCTCAACACAAAATACTCTCCAACACTGTCCCAGTAGGTTTACTGGTCTGGTGCAATTTCAGTGGACGTTAACACTGTTGAATCTGCTAAACACAGGCAATGTGGTGTTCCTTTTGTCCAAAGAAGAAGTACGACAAAACACAACAATGCAAATGTAAGCAAAACTAGTACAGGAGCAGGATAATCTGCTCACAACACACGACACTTTCCTAAACCTGCTGAAGTCTTTGCTGCAGCATTTTATCATTTTAGTGTTACTTGGCAGAAGGAAGGGCTGAACAATGAATGGATTTCAAATCAAAAAAATTGAAACCTCACAAAGGTTGCAACTTAAAAGATATGCATTATGCTGTATGTGTGACCCAGGGTTCATTTATTTTCTCCTTCTTCTTCTTTTTATTATTATTTTTAGTAGATGCTGCTACATGCCATGAACATCTATAACATTATTTTTGCTTACTATTCATTTATTTATTTACAGCTATATTATAGCTTTTGTGGTAATGGTTCAATCCTGTATGACATTTGAAAAAAATTAAATAAATATATGCTTGAAGCAATATTTATCTTCAAGTTTCCATACTTTCTTATGTTAACGGTGTGTCATGGGGTAACAGTCCATCACGTTTTTAAATCTATTACACAATAAATATGTAAAATTAAATATCTGTTACACAAATAGCTGTTAGATATATTTCCCCACATCGTTCAGCTCTGGAACCACAAGCAAAAATCTTCTAGTGTATTGAAATAATCCAGCAACACCGACCTTCTACGCAGTTTATGGAGGCTCAAGCTAATTATTGATACCAGCAGAGTAAATCTCGGCAATTCCGGATAAAAATGCGTCAAAATGTGTCGCTTTAAAATGAACCGAGCAGGTATAACAGAGGTAGTTTCGAATAAATGGAAGCTTTTCCTACTTCTTTTTGGTGGCCTGGCAGCAGCAGCGACAGCTTTACTGCCCCCAAAAAATAGACTGAGACACAAGCTAACTCGTAACCTTGCTAACACTGGGGACTTTCCGACGCAGTTAGCGCTCAAACATCGCCGCGAACCGGAATGAACCCGTTCCTCTGTGGATATTAGCGTGGAAAAACGTGTGTAAATTAATTCATGTTTAAATTGTGCCTCTGTGGAAAGCTGTGTATCTGGTAAACAGGTAGTGAAACTGCTGCTGGGCTAACTTTGCTCCAGTGCAGTTAGCATACCGCAGCGGCGCGCTAAACCCACTCGCGTTAGCAGCGCATTAGTTTAGCCGCCTAGCTCGCTAGTTAGCATTCCGTTAGCCTCCGCGGCCTAAAGCAGCGCAGCCGCTTTTCGCTCCCGGTCCCACTTACCGGCGCTGTTCCCGGGACGGTCGAGCTTGAGGATGTCCCGGAGATGCTGGGTCGCACCCTCGATGTCGATATCAGAATTGGACGCCATGGGTGAGGGAAAGGGGGACACTGGGTTGATTTAGGGGGAGAGAATGTTTTCTTGTTTGATGCGATGCTGTCACAGTTCACCCAGAGCAACCGTCTAAACTTCCGCTTTGTCCGCGGCCCTGGATTCCGACTTCTCACCGCGGCAGCTCGTTGGTTCCTACCTCAGAAATGTAACTAAGTTCATGCATACTGTACACAGCCAGGCGTGTTGCTGCCCTCCATAGTCCGGAAGCAGGGCTGCAACTAACAACTACTTTTCTATTGATTTTTCTAAGAATATTTTACAGTTTAGAGCCAAAGTCTAAAGGAACAATTTCCCTCCAAAAATAAAAAGCCCCCCAAAACGCCATTTAATTAAAGACAATTTTCATTTGACAAACTGTGGGTTTGTGTATAATGCAGCACTGGACGAAATGGGAACAAATATTAAAGTGCAAAACTGTAGGTTTAAACTGGAAACAGACTGTCCAACCAACAGTAAATCACACATGGAATAACTGACATATTTATGGTGTAACATCAACACATTCAACCTGTGCAGTATCAATACTTTTACATTTAAAAACGATGCAATACCATTTTTTCAACACGTACAAGAATCTGCACATCGGCATATATCAGCATGTTTCTGCTTCCTGAATAATTGTGCAACATAGATCAATTATGTGCAATATCATACATGCAATATTTCGATTTCCACATCCAAAGGATTTTTTTTCCTGTGCAATATCTAGACATGCACACATGGAAGAATCAGTGCTTATGTATATTTTTAGTTTTTTTTTTATTTCTTACTTATGCTTCCTACATGTTTGCACTGCTGTAACACTGCAAATGTCCTCATTGTGGGATTAGTAAAGGCTTATCTAACCTTTGTGAAACTCCAACGTGAGAAAAGAAAAAAAAATAAGGCTTGTTATTGAAAGCAATTGTGAAACTTAAACAGAAAGTGTTTTTTTTTTTTTTTTCTAATTTCACTCTCCAATGTTTTTCTAAATTTCTAATTTTATTGCCAGGCTCTTTCCACTCCTGTGTTCTGCTCCCACAAATTTGCACCTCGAAGGACTTTTGATCGCGTCTTTAAAGGTAACAAGGCAGTAGCTTAGAAAAATTCTTGAATCCTGGTCTTAAATTATATATGAAAAATGACCTAAATTAAATAAACAAGACATTATGGCATTGTAAATTCACTAAAATGTTATTATGGCTTGTATTTTTTATTATGAGCTAATAGAAGCAAACAGTAAACTTTCTCTCTGCTACGCTTGTTTCCAGTGTTCAGGCTCCTCACTGTGGCTCACTGATGAAACAGAATCAGAATCAAAATAACTCAGTTAACACTAACACTGATAAAGAAACTGCAGGAGAAGAATTTCTGACACAAGTCGAAGAGGTCTTAGTCAGCCAAAGAAAATTAGGACAAGAACTGCGAATAAAAAACAGTGATTTAATTTTTTAAAACAGTTTTGTTAAATGGAGTTTAATTTAATGAGGCATAATAGACATTTTGTTTATCAGACGGTTGGAAAAAACAGGAAAATGCAGACGTTCATCACATAGACTCATCGTATTCGCTGTGCGTGGAGCTGATTGTGCTTATTGTCGTGTGCAGTCGCCCCCAAAGGCCCATTCTGAGCCAGAAAACCCCTGAGCTGATGGAGAAATTGTGGACGAGTCCCATTTGTCCGTTAACCGATCCAATTAATGAGGTACGTATAGGAACGATATCCAATCAGAGACCTTGTAGGGCTGCACGATATGGGACCAAAAAAAACTGACATTGTGATATAAAATTTTTCTCTGATATGTGTTGTGATATGAAAACAAAGGCAGGAATTTTCAATATATTGTCAATAATCATTCTACAAAGGTCAGAGTAGCTTTAGAGAGGAGTGCATCTGCATCCAAAATAAAGATTTTTTCATTTTTTTTTAAAATAAGAAGCTAACAAGTTTGGAACAGTTTAGAAAAGGCATCGGAAATATTTGTTTGCTTTGGACAGCATGAAGATCCGGCGTTGCACCTCATCTTACAGAGCTTTGTATTGCTGATTTAATTAAACATCTGACACTTTTCCTTTTTGCAACCAAATCTTGCTTTTTAGTGTTTCTCTGTTTTGTAATAACAAAAGAGAACTTTGAGTTTCCTTTTAAATTAAGCAGAAAAAAGAAGCTGTAGCATGTGTTTGAGTTGCCTTCTTCACATATAGATTGATGGTGAGACGTATTGTGCAGCTCTACACAAAACATACTGAGACAGCACCTGTGTTGAGCCTGACTGTAAGTCAAATAATAAAAGAGGTACGGAGAAACGAGAACACACCATTAAGAAAAAAGTCCAGGTTTTATTGTGTATCGTGGCTGTAGTCCATGTTAACTGCCAGACATGTGTGTGAAAGAGAGACAGACAGAGAGAGGATATGCAGGATCAGAGCAAAAAGATTCTTTGGTTTGCAAGAGCAAAACCTGGCATGAGAGAAAACGAACCATGGCGAGAGTTAACAAGTGTGTAAAGGAAGATAAAACTGGGTTGTAACACACTAAGGCAGGCTAAAGTAAACACACGTGTGGTCTCTAAAAACAAAATACAAACACAATGAGTCAGCGCCAAAGAGGCCGACTGTGAACCTGAACATGGATCTACGAACCAGTCAACAGCAGTGCTAACAGGACTGAGTTGACAGCAGTGGAGTCGACAGAAGAGCAGAACGGGTTAGATCGGAGCAGAGACGAGTGGAGAGCAGAGCAGAGTTAATGGCGTCGGTCAGCTATTTGTCCTTCTGGTGGCTTGAGTGTAGATATTGAAATGAGGGGCTCCCAGCGTCATGCAGATCAGCAGAGTAGGCAGACAGGGGCGTCTGATTGGTCGGCCGGCTCTCAGCAAAGAAACACGTCGCAGTTCTACTGGCTGGGCTGGTCTGAAACCCACCTGGATGAGGTTCAGTGATTGACATCTAGAATCCGGTGTTTGTCAAACAGGCAGGAGGGAGGGACGAGTGCTCTCTTCTCTCGCTCTCTCTCCTCTCCCCATCCTCCCTCCCCTCCCTCCGTACTTCATCGCACAGTGCCCTTCACTATGGCCGCCCCCGCCCGCCACAGCGCAGAGGAGGCTTAACCAAAGTTGTGAATGGCCAGCCTGAACATGTCATTGGTGCACACCCATGCATCGTTAATGTTCTTCAGGATGAAACTCTGATGGAAACCCATGATGGGGTCTTCATCTGCCTGCAGACACACAAACAGACGAGGATCAGCGCAAAGCCATGAGTGCAGCAACTTAATGAATCTGTTTCTACACATAAAATGAACCCTCTGAACCCCAAAACCTGCCAGCGGGTTCGAAAAGGCATGCCATCTTTTAAAAAAAAAACAAGAATAACCTGCTAGAATTACACCATTTCTCATAGAATTAAACTGTAAAAATAGAAACAATCATCTGCTTTTGAACTTTCTGACACTCCTTGAACTCATCACGTGTGAAATCCAACCTTAAAATTGGGATATTTCAGCAAAATCATTGTATTTTACATGTCTTGTTTAAAAATCTGTTAAAAATAAACTTTTTTCTTTGACCAGATTTTGTAAAAAACAAAAAATTCTACAATCCTGGGCACAACCGTGAAGCCATGATTAACTAAGCTGTGACCAACAGTCGTATGGCAAAAATTAGAGAAGTTTCAGCTGAACTGCAATCAGTGGTTTCACAGAGCAGATAAGACGAAGATGGAAAAAAAATCAAAATGTACGTAGTAAAATATCTACAGTATGTACATTTTCCAGAGCTGGTAACACCTGTGGGCACTCGGAAAAATGTTGTACATGTTGAGTCCTGATTTTTTCCAATTTTTGGAAAGAAATTCAACTTCCTTTTTTGTATGATTTATGACATTATAACTGTGTCATACAGCACAGAATAAATTCCTGAGTTCTCCTTCTAGTCATGGCTGTTCTATTTCCATCGAGGTGCAGGACTTCAGACTGAAGTGGAAAAAAATGTGACAGGAGCAAAAAGGAAGCCCAGAAACTTTTTCAGAGTTCAGACAGTTAATCATATTGTTTTGATTACCAGTTATGTAATTCCTCCAAGTTTAAAAAAGTATTGCAAATACTATCACCCACTTCATGCTGGCTTTGAGCTGCTGGCCCTTCTTTAAGTAAAGGTGGGAGGTTTAGGAAGAAACAAGAGGCCGATAACCAAACCAGCCCTCTAATTAAACAGTATATGTTAATAGTGAACTATGTAGTTTATGTCCAGAGTCTAACACACACAGTAAACATATTTCTCTATTCAAGACACTGGCAGACATGGTTTTTGTTGAGGGAACATCTGAAGCAGCTTTGTTTACGCCCATGTGTACTAGCTTGCAGTCTACTCCTTCTGCAGGTCCACTGCTGCCACCACTTTTTCAACTGCTGGAAAAACAGCGAATTAGAAGCCACTGGAAAGAATTTGTATTAAGTAATGACACACAAAACATAAAAACATTCCTATATCCTCGACAAAAACAAACAACAACAAAAAAATCCACCCCAAAGTTTACTTTTCTGCTGCATGCTGGAAAATTATAGATTTTTTTTTTAAATCCAGGAAACAATGATTAATTGGGACACGCCAATTAGGAAATTCAGAGAAGAAGTGAATTTAAAAGACTTGTGAGGACAAGCACCATGAGGGAAGTCAACCCTGAGCACACGAGAGATACTGAGAGAACTTTGTTGCCCAAAGTTTTGCTGCACAAAACTTCTACTTGATGCAGTTGTAGAGTGAAAAAGAAGGTGAAAACCAACATGATGGGGACAAAAGTCACCTGCAACTAATGTCATCCTTCTCATGTAACGATTTCCTGTATTTGTATTGTTTTCATAACAGCTCAAAAATGATTTAATGCCTGAAGCAGCAATGTGAAAATCTGGACACCAGAACAGCCACCTGTGTGCAGACACACATCAGAAGGTGCTTTTCTGAGCATGTCAGCTGGTCGAGCGACTGTGCAAAAGTTTAAGGCACTTCATGCCACCGGGGAGGAATCCGCTTGTCCACAAATTCATTCTGCAGCAGGACAACGAGCCCAAACATCCATCCAGAGACATAAAGAACCACCCTCAGCGGAAAAAAGAATGAGTCCGACAACCGTCCTGGTATGACCCTCACACAGCCCAGATCTCAACATCATGAGTCGGCTTTCCACTGCAGGAACTCGGCGCCACAAGCATTCACAGGAACAGTCCTCAGATCAGCTCTTCCAGCTTTTCTATTTCCATTGCGGTGTGGGATCTGACAGCTTCAGCCACCACATGAACTCCAAGTGCACCAAAACAACAACAACAAATAGCTACTGGATGTAACTCAGCACAAAGGAAACAGACCAACGGAGGTTTGTTATGTTGCCTATATGTTGAATTTTATGTTGCTGATGACGAGGTTAAACAGGAGAAGAACGCTACTTGACGAGAACCGTTCAGAAGCACCTTTTGTCTCCAGAAAACAGCCCTGAAACAGGTTCTACAGAGGCAGTTCCTGTAGTCAGAACATGCACAAAAGGTTCATGATACAAGTTCCGACAGTGGAAAACAGCTCATTGGGTCAGTGTGGGATTAAATGAAGAGACAGAAGACACTGAAGGCCTGAATCCACAGAGAAACTGGAAAGTTCTGCATGATACTGAACAACGTAACTGCCAAGTACGTAGTGTGGTGGCTGCAAGTTTAGGGTTTACTTGAGGCTTATCTGTTTGGTGTAACTTTGCATCTAAAACTTTTGCACATTGCTGCATATCCAGAATACGTTTTCTTCACTATATTCCCACACTGCATGTTTACAGACAATATACCCGTAGTTGAGTCATGAAGGAAACAAAAACAAATAAGATCTTGACAATGATTTGATCATATATCTGAAAAGACAATATCAATATCCTTATTTACTTTGGAAGTGAACACTTGACCCCGTCATGCTCTGAGCTACTTACTTTTAGCTGTCCTACAACCATACTCAAGATGCAGCTGTCTGGAGTCGGCTGGTGGTCCTGCGCTGTTATACTATGCGCTATTTTTGTGAAGGGGAGACTCTGGCACACAGACATACACACACAGAGGAAAGATAAACAAGATACGGATTAATACAGGGTTTATCAGACAGTGGAAGCATCGACTTAAAATTCAGCTAAATCACCTTGAAGTACTCTCATTAAAGTAAAATAATTTAAAAAAGAGGTTCACCAGAAGGCTAGGATACGAGAAGCTGATTCCCTGAAGCTGAACAGTTGACTTTTAGTTACATTTTATCCTCAAACTGCACTTTCCTAATGTTGTTTCCATGCATAGAGACTGTCGGAAATAAACACGCCACGGTTCAAATACAGTTCAAAACACTTGCTGACTGCTACAGTGAATGTAAATGTGTGCGATCTTCTACTCAGAGTAACCTGGTGCAGGAACATACTGACACCGTCGCTGCATGTCTCACTTGAGCCCTGAACACCTGTTTGAACGTGACCTCTGCCTGCAGCAACGAGTTACCAGATAAACTCACAGTGAGTTTCTCGACGATTGCTCTTTTTCCCTGGAACTGCTGTCCTTCCCACGTAAGGCATGATGCATCGATCTGTGCGGAGACATTGGGAGTAAAAGAGTGAGCTGCAGAGGAAGCCATTAAAGGTCACTCGCTGTGTGGCCTTCGAGTCCAAGACATGGAGAGTTACTACAACACGAGCTCATGACAATGTGTTGTACTGTTTAAACACAAAGTTTATTTGACTTTTTAATCCAATCAGCAGGTTAAAAGAATGAATGTAAACATAGCAGGAAGTAGGCGCTTTTCATAGTCATCAATCATCCCTAAACACTGCATCCACTGGGATAGAACAACTTACTGGTCCGAAGATGAAACAAAAGATAACGGATTATTTAAAAAAATAAATAAATGTGGAGCGACTCAGACACACCTGTTGATCAGTGCTAAGGCGGAGAACAGTGATCACAATGTGAGCTTCGGATAATTCAGTGATGGTGGTACTGAAGTTTAAAATGTGTTCTGCTCAGAGAAATCAAATAGCAAACAGCCCACATAGATAAAATGATTTCCAGTCAGACAAATCTGACGGCAGTACGCGTTATTTTATTCTTTTCCAACTAATTTGGTCATATCAGTGCTGCAAGTGAAAACATTAGATACCGTCTCTAAATACTGCCTATAAAATGTCTAAAAATACAATCTGCCAGAGCACAAGGTTGTTTGTTTAGCTTGGACAACGTTCCAAAATGCGACGACTGAGTTTACCCAACAAAGTTTATCATATATGACGAAGGAAAAGCAGCAACTGTTCACGTTTGAGAAGCTGCAACCACAGAATAGTTGGTGCTTCCGCTTGAGAAATGACTGAAACATAACAAGGTTTCTTATATAAACAGAAAAATAGTTTCACTCTAAATGTCTGTAGGCGTGCTGTGCAATCATTTGTACTTTTTGTTTTTAAAAATCACATGAGTAAGAGATAATTAAGATTAATTGGTGTGAGTCATTGGCTGTAGGTTGCAGTTATGAGCCTGCCACTGGCGGCTCCAGTTAGACAGGTTTCTCTTTTCCTTCTAATATCTGCATCTTACTAGTTTCTAAATCCATTTCACTAATGGTAAACAACAACAACAACAAATATCTAAAAGATCTGATTGTGCTCCAAGGCAGCCCTGCCAGATTTTGTTGATGAATTTTCCATTTTAAAAATCACAAAACAATTCAACCGTCGCTTACACCAAAGCTGCATCCTTTACTTAGCTCCGCCCCACACAACTGTGATTGGTTTAAAGAAATACAAACAACCCAGAGCCTCTTTCCCCCTCCCCTCTATGGCAGGATGATACTGAGGTGCAGCCAGAATGGGCTGGCTAAACCAGACCACAGATTAATCAATAACCTTTGTTAACATTTAAGCCAACAATGCAAGAGGAGGTCTGACATTATGTGGTTTATGATCGCTGCAACGCAAAGTGACGCTGCAGAAAAAAACGGTGTCATATTATCGGTTATGAATCTCTAATTGATGATTAAACGCAGAAAATATGCCTCCCTGGTGAGACGCATGGAACGTGATGAAAACAGGCTCGAATCGTAACAACACTCATCGCACTCACATATATGGATCCGAGTTGTGATCTGTCAGAGTCAAACATCTGGTAGTAGTGCTGCACGAAGCTGGATCCTATCTGCTCCCACAGAGGCTGGTCCACCATCCTGAATCACCCTGCAACACACACTGGGGAGGTGGGAGACCAGACGAGCACAATGAGAGGCAGAGAAACACCAAAACAAAAGGTCAGAAATGTGAAAAAACAGAAGCCTCCTTTTGCATTTCAAGGCCCCTCGACAGACACCAGATTTCAACATCGATGGGGGATTTTAGCGAGACGTGTTAGACAAACCGCAAGGCTGCGGTTTGTGGTTGTTGCAGTTTGTTTTTTTATATCCTCTATCAGTGGCGTTGTTGGGTCTGGGCGTCTGACGACAAAGCCCCTGATCTAAATTATTAATATTATTACAAAAAGCAAGAAAAACAGTTCTGGGTCTTTCTCACCATGCGTCAAGCCCCTCAAAAATGATTTATTGCTCAAAAATGTTGGGATATTATTAGTCGGTTTGTAAAACTCTGATCTGTTTCCTAAAGTCAAAATATTTCGACATCACATCAGGTGTGTTGTTCCACCTTTTTTCTTTTCGATAAACGTGTAGCAGTGACATTATTGTGTGTATATAATAACATGTATGGCAAAACATAGCAACAGGTAGAAAACACTGTTTATTATTTTACTGTAAGTTGCTGTAGTTCGATAAAGGCAAAATTTTCTGAACTTTTTTATGATTATTTTCAGCTATTTACTTGTTGGTTTTATTGTGTTATAGAACTTTATGTGATGACTTCCTCACCTCACCAGAAAACACACCTCTTCTCCTGTACTATTTAAAGGGTCGCTAATCCAAATTACAAACAAACAAAGCTTCTGAAAATAAATATTGTCAAGGCACAACTCTACACATGATTATAGCTCTGTAATTCTTCATAAATCCAACTAATAATAACTAAAATAAATAACATTACTGTGGAGCACAGAAAGAAAGTGCAATGAACCTAATGTGCTTAGAGCAAAGTGTGTCACATAATATGTTAATTTTACAGCAAAATAACATGAAAACAGTGCAGTTAGCAAGTTAAAAGACACAGATCCAGGTCAAAACAACAAACAAAACAGCTTCAGTAATCAAAATTAAGTGAGTATTTACAGTAAATTCATTAACAAGTTGCAAAACTAAGATCGCTCACACAAATTATTAGATAAAATGCATGAAAACTTGCATTTTCAGTCTCAACTTTACCTATAGTTATAGCTCCGTAAGTCGTCATAAATAAAAAAATAAACTAATAAAGTGACTAATAGTAATAGTAATGTAGAGGATAGGAACATTGAACTGGACTATTTCACTGAACTCTAAACACATAATGTAGAACTGTTTACCCCGATTTATTTGCACTGTATAACCACGACTGTCATCACTTTATACAATCAAAGTTTACAAATGCAAAGTGCACTTTAGGAGCACTGCTGCTGTCAGTTTAAGTCTGCTATTTATTCAGAGTTGCTTTAGTTTTTTTTTATACACTGTGTACATTTGGTTAAATAGGATCAGCACGATAAGAATTTCATTGTCCCGTGTAACCGTCTAGTTTTCTGTGCATTTGACAGTAAACCTCTTGAATCTTGAAAGTGGGATCACGTAGAGTCACATGTTAACTTCACAGTGAAATAACTTGAACACAGTGCAGTTAGCAGGTTAAAATCTAAAATGTGTCCAGATCCAGAACAAAACAACAAGCGAACCTGCTTCAGTAATCAGAATTAAGTGAGTATTTACAGTATATTCATTAACAAGTAGCAAAACTGAGATGCTGAGATCGCTCACGCAAATTACTAGTAGATAAAATGCATGAATATTGGGGTTTTCAAGTCACAACTTTTAGGTCATCATAAATATAACTAACAATAAGCTGACTAGTAGTAATAATAATGTGGAGCATAGAAAAGCAGTGGAATATGCTCGAAAATAACTTGAAAATAGTGCAATTAGCAGGTTAAAACTGAAAACCTATCAAGATCCAGAACCTAACAACAAACTGAACTGCTTCAGCAATCAAGATTAAGCGAGTATTTACAGTATATTCATTAACAAGTAGCAAAACTGAGATGCTGAGATCACTCACCCAAGTTACTATTAGATAAAATGTATGAATATTTGTATTTTCAAGTCACAACTTTTAGGTCATCATAAATATAACTAATAATAAACTAACAGTAACAATAATGTGGAGCAGAGAAAAACAGTGGAATATGCTGTAGAATAGCTTGAAAACAATTAGCAGGTTAATCATCTAAAATGTGTCCAGATCAAGAACAAAAACAACACAGAAAAGTTTCACTACTCAAACTAGATGAAAGCACCACTTAAATCCAGTCTAAGGTTTCATCCGGTACCAAAATTAAACTTGTGAGAGGCTTAAACAAACAGTCTCCACGTCACTTAACACTTACTAAAACTGAATTTTCGCTACTTTCCCGGTGCTGACAGTTAAAACAACACCCGGAGCCGTGCTGTAGCCCAGCGGCGGCAGCTCACGGACACCGTCACACAGCAGAATTCCTCGCACCGGAGCGGCCCGGGCGGTGTTTTGCTGAGCACGCCGTTCCGAGCCTCTCTCCGCTCGGGTGACACTGACAGCACAAGAAGTCATGTGCTCCCCACATAACGATACACCGGAGCGAGCCGAGCACCGGGGAAAGCGAAACGACGAAGGCGGGGGGCCGAACACCCCCCACGGGTACACCGGCGGCTCCGTGCCCGCGTAAACACAACCGAGAAGTGGACGGGAGAGAGAGAGGGCGGTTTAACGAGCTATTAACGGAAAATGTAGCTAGTTAGCCGACGTGCTAGCTGCTAGCTAGTCTTGTTTGCTAACAGTTGGTTTACTTAGCACACCTCCCCGGATGCTAATGTTAGACGTCAGATAAATTATACCTCCGGCCGTTAGCTAACCGGCTGGCCTGCTGGCTGGCTGCTGCTGTTGGCCTTTCCACCGGTTACTAAAAATACCCCCGTCTCCTCCAAGTGTTGATGCCTCCTGTGGGCCCGCGCACTCAGCTCTGGAAGCTCCGGAGCAGCTACCCTACATAGGCGTGCCCGACGTTAGCGCCCCCGAACCGGGCAGGAGCAGCCGATTTAACAACTTATCCGGCGCTGAGCTCGTCCAAAGGCGACACTAAACTACGGCGTTTGGTTTTCGGGCATGTTTCCATTCACTGTTCGGCGTGAGGGCGCCCGAAAAACTAGTAATAAAAACTTACCTCTTACTAACGCCGAGGCCGGCTGCACGATCGCACAGTGCGGTGTCTGCTCCGCGACGAGGGCACGCACCCGAAGCCGTAGCGGGCCCGATGCATCATGGGAGCTGTAGTGTTTATATACAGACGTCTGTCTGGCTCGTTAAGACAAGATTGATTTTATTGATCCCTCACTGGGCAAGTTCACATGTTACAGCAGCAGGATACAGAAAGCTGCAGGACATGATTTTCAAAGGTACAATAGGGATACAGCATAAAAAAAAATGAAGATGTAATAAGAAAGGTCCCATAGAAACAATATACCAGACATGCAAAATCGATATATGGATATGTACATATATGGCATGTATATGTACAGCTATGACATAGTGAATTTACATATGTGCTGATATGTAAATAATGACTTGGTGAATTTACATATGAAATGTAAATATATGGCAGTGAATTTACATATAGATATGTACAGTATGACTTGATGAATTTACAGTTTTGGTATGGAGGATAATGTACCCACAATTTTGTTATTGCAGTATTTTTTTTAAAAAGTTTTTTGTTATTTTTTGTTAAAATTATTTGTAATGTTTTTTGTTAATATTAAAACAAATATGTGAATAAAAATGCATAAATATGCATATGAAATAATTCTAAAATACATTCAGGAGGCTCAGGACCTACTGTCTCAGTCAGGCTTTTGATTGATTTAATAGATTTTATTAATATTTCCTCTCAGAATTAATTTTATTTATGGATTTCTCTATTTATTCGGTCGTTATTATATTTGAGTCTATTAAATGTAACTTTATTACTTTTTGATTCTGCTTTAATGAATTTTCACTTCTATTTTTGCCCTTCACAAATCTATCTAATATTTTATTTTTTTATTTTATTAATTATTTTTATTGAATTATTATGTTATTTAGTATATCTATATCTATCTATTTAGTTGGCAGATGGGGAGGTTGTTGACGTTGCTTTATTGCAGTTTTATCCCTTTCATCAGCACTTTGTGTTGCATTTAATTTGTATGAAGAAAAAAAAAAAGTGGTAATAACTTCTAAAAACAGGGTTTAATTTTCTAAAAAGCTACATTTGTAGAGCTGCTCCTGCAACAAGAGGCCAACAGCAGCTTGCAGCTGCAAATAACAAGAGATAAGACAATGTAAAGGGAATAACTAAGCAACCAACTACTTCCAGTCATTTCAAGGGACTTTTTTTAATGCATATTTATTAATTTTATATCATTTTTTCTTTTTTTTACTTTGATGTTGAATAAAATTGTACTCCATACAAAATGAGCCATGTGATTTTGCATTAATTTCCCATATTTTGATCTACAGTTACAGCTTTTACTGTAATGCAAATGTTTGGCAGAGGTAAATGACATGTCTTGTTGATTTCTGAAGCTAAAATTAATACATAAATCCTGCAGCCTTGAGTTCAGCTGCACCCCGGTGTAGTGTGTATACCAAAACAACTTCATATAAAACATGGCTCCTCCAGTCAGTAAATTAACAGACTGAATAAGACAATAAGCAGCACTAAAAACACATTGTATTGTTTTAGAGTGATGTGCTGTAGTTAGATAAGCCACTCTTAGATCACATTAAAAAAGATGAACTTCTATACTTGGGTGGCTGTTGAGGACATTTTGCTTCAACAGAAGGAGACTTCTCAGACGGTAAATACTGAACAGCAGCTCTGCTGTTTTCAGGTGACTGCCTCAGAGGATCATACTGGGCGGCCACTTTATCATTCGCAGCACATTCATTTATCTCCTTCTCCAGACTGTGGACCACAAGGGGCCAGAGGCCGACTGCTCTCCTTACTGTCTTCACATAGATGCACTCAGCAGCAGCGAAGCCAGAAAACACAGAGTGAGTGTTTCACAGGCTGCAGAGAAAACAAACAGGCTTCTAAACAGCAATAAGCCTGTGAAACATACCAGCTAGACATATACACACCTGAATCCAAACTCTGGTAGGTCAAAAGATGTAAACAAAACATCTACTTGCATTAAAAGTGAAGCTAGAGGGTGACACAAATAATAATAAAAACAACAACTATCAGTGATTTATACACAACTGTTATTTATTCATAAATTGCATTTGACTGGTTAAATTTCACTCATTCAACAAGGAACTGAAACCACAACAAGCTCACTGGGTTCACTCAAAGCAGCATCACGATGTAAAGATTGTGACTTTTTTCTACAATAATTACATCAGCTGTTTTAAAAATCATGTTACAGGGATCAGTCAATGATGTTTAATTCAATAGTTCTGTTCACACACATCTTTAAGCCTTCATAATAAATAATCAATACAATTAACTGCTCACCTGCTGGAAAGTGGTTTTAAAGGTTCGATGCAGGATTTTCTTCTGTTTTGTAAAAAGTCAAGTGACTACAGGCTCAACAACTAAATGTAAAGCTGTTCAGATTGTGCTGATCTGAGTTTTTGGGTGTTTTGCGATGTGTTGTGGTTCAGTGGTGTCCAATCCTGGTCCTGGAGGGCCACAGTCCTGCATGTTTTAGATGTTTCTCTCTTCCAACACACCTGATTCAAATGATCAGCTCATCATCAAGCTCTGCAGAAGCCTGATAACGATCCTGATCATGTGAATCAGGTGTGTTGGAAGAGGGACACATCTAAAACATGCAGGACTGTGGCCCTCCAGGACCAGGATTGGACACCCCTGTTGTAGTATATATGCTTGTCTGTTGCGTGCTGGGGCTGCAAGGTGGCGCAGTTGGTAGCACTGTTGCCTCGCAGCTAGAAGGTCGCCAGTTAGCATCCCGGTGAAGAAACCCGGGATCTTTTTTCATGGAGTCTCCATGTTCTCCCCGTGCAGCGTGGGTTCTCTCCGGGTTCTCCGGCTTCCTCCCACACAGTCCAAAAACATGTTGAGGTTAATTGGTGATTCTAAATTGTCCGTAGGTGTGAATGTGAGTGTGCTTGGTTGTCTGTCTCTAAGTGTAGCCCTGTGATAGACTGGTGACCTGTCCAGGTGAACCTGCCTTCACCCTGAGTCAGCTGGGATAGACTCCAGCCCCCCACGACCCTAGTGAGGATTAAGCAGTGTATGGATAATGGATGGATGGATATTGCGGGCTGTAAGTCGCTTCAGGCTGGGCGGGGCTGTTGGATGGGAGAGGAGGCATTCACTCTCCTCCACACCTGAGGCTCATTGATAATCAGCGCTGGATAAAGCCTGCCTCCACCTGTGCTCCAGTGGATGATTCCTCCCTCCAGTGGTAACAGGTCACCTTGATGTCTGCGGAAACTGTTTGCTCTTGAAGAGATTTGCTTTTGTCTATCTGTGATTTTGTCTGCGTTGATATCAGAGCCTCCCCGTCAGAGTGACGCCTCCCGGACCCAGCTCTCTGTAGCCAAGCTCCAGCCTCAGCAGCTCTGCCTCCTGGTCCCTTTGGAAAACCTCCCCTGGAATACCCTCCTTCACTCCTTCACTCAGCAACCCTCACGAGCTTCCCGCTGTCCACTGTTTTCCCTGCACCAGTAAATAATTTTTGCTTCTAATCTATCCCCTGTGTTGCATTTCTGGATCCCGCCCAGACTGAACCTTAACACAGACCTGATAAAGTCAGACATATTTTGGAAAAGCTCTGTATATCATCATTCAATATGATGGTGGCTTTGTTCTACACTGTAAAATAAAATGTCATTTTACAGATTTTTTTCCTTTAATTTTTTTGTGTGCTTGTATTTTTGAGAAACACAAAAAAATCGATAGTTACAACATTTGACTGTGAACATACAAATACAACGTAAATACAACAGTAACACATGTAGCTGTATCATGTAACCTCATACTTCCAACTGGACTTATTTTATTTAAACATAAAAAGACTGTAAAAATGCATTCATATCATAATTTCCATTTAATTTAGTGACCAAACTGTTAAATTAAAGCTTCACACTGTCAATAATTTTTTTAAATTAAACAAAAATGGTGACAATTAGCAGGAAAAAAGTATTGTTTTCATAACTTTACATAGATTTCGTTGTTAAATAAGACATGTTTTGTCTTATTAAGGATGTTTTCAAAAATAAATGTTGACTTATGATGTTTTCATCAGTGTATAACATCTATAAGCATTAGTAATCTGTCGAAATACGGTTTTATCTGTCTACTATTATTGCATATTATATATCACTTCATTGTTTTTACATGCATTAAACAAATAAAAAGTTTTAAAAAATGTAAAACTAGGGCTAGAAAATATATTTTAAATATGGAAAGTTACTGTGTTTTTTAGATAGTTATTTCACAGTATTATTTTGGCTCCAGTTGCTGGAATGATAGCATTTTTTAATTTTAATTTTAATTTTTTACAGTGTAAA